CATGAAGAACAACACAAGTACTGAACCACCTGCATGAAGTACAACACAAGGTACTGAACCATCTGCATGAAGTACAACACAAGTGCTGAACCACCTGCATGAAGTACAACACAAGTACTGAACCATCTGCATGAAGTACAACACAAGTGCTGAACCATCTGCATGAAGTACAACACAAGTACTGAACCATCTGCATGAAGTACAACACAAGTGCTGAACCATCTGCATGAAGTACAACACAAGTACTGAACCATCTGCATGAAGTACAACACAAGTACTGAACCATCTGCATGAAGTACAACACAAGTGCTGAACCATCTGCATGAAGTACAACACAAGTACTGAACCATCTGCATGTAGTACAACACAAGCACTGAACCATCTGCATGAAGTACAACACAAGTACTGAACCACCTGCATGAAGTACAACACAAGTACTGAACCATCTGCATGAAGTACAACACAAGTACTGAACCATCTGCATGAAGTACAACACAAGTACTGAACCATCTGCATGAAGTACAACACAAGTACTGAACCACCTGGATGAAGTACAACACAAGTACTGAACCATCTGCATGAAGTACAACACAAGTACTGAACCATCTGCATGAAGTACAACACAAGTACTGAACCATCTGCATGAAGTACAACACTAGTACTGAACCACCTGCATGAAGTACAACACAAGTACTGAACCATCTGCATGAAGTACAACACAAGTACCGAACCACCTGCATGAAGTACAGCACAAGTACTGAACCACCTGCATGAAGTACAACACAAGTACTGAACCACCTGCATGAAGTACAACACAAGTATTGAACCATCTGCATGAAGTACAGCACAAGTACTGAACCATCTGCATGAAGTACAGCACAAGTACTGAACCATCTGCATGAAGTACAGCACAAGTACTGAACCATCTGCATGAAGTACAACACAAGTACTGAACCATCTGCATGAAGTACAACACAAGTACTGAACCACCTGCATGAAGTTTCAACACAAGTACTGAACCATCTGCATGAAGTACAACACAAGTACTGAACCATCTGCATGAAGTACAACACAAGTACTGAACCATCTGCATGAAGTACAACACAAGTACTGAACCACCTGCATGAAGTACAACACAAGTACTGAACCATCTGCATGAAGTACAACACAAGTACTGAACCATCTGCATGAAGTACAACACAAGTACTGAACCACCTGCATGAAGTACAACACAAGTACTGAACCACCTGCATGAAGTACAACACAAGTACTGAACCATCTGCATGAAGTACAACACAAGTACTGAACCACCTGCGTGAAGTACAACACAAGTACTGAACCACCTGCGTGAAGTACAACACAAGTACTGAACCACATGCATGAAGTACAACACAAGTACTGAACCACCTGCATGAAGTACAACACAAGTACTGAACCACCTGCATGAAGTACAACACAAGTACTGAACCACCTGCATGAAGTACAACACAAGTACTGAACCACCTGCATGAAGTACAACACAAGTACTGAAGCATCTGCATGAAGTACAACACAAGTACTGAACCACCTGCATGAAGTACAACACAAGTACTGAACCACCTGCATGAAGTACAACACAAGTACTGACCCACCTGCATGAAGTACAACACAAGTACTGAACCATCTGCATGAACTACAACACAAGTACTGAACCATCTGCATGAAGTACAACACAAGTACTGAACCATCTGCATGAAGTACAACACAAGCACTGAACCATCTGCATGAAGTACAACACAAGTACTGAACCATCTGCATGAAGTACAACACAAGTACTGAACCATCTGCATGAAGTACAACACAAGTACTGAACCATCTGCATGAAGTACAACGCAAGTACTGAACCATCTGCATGAACTACAACACAAGTACTGAACCATCTGCATGAAGTACAACACAAGTACTGAACCATCTGCATGAACTACACAAGTACTGAACCATCTGCATGAAGTACAACACAAGTACTGAACCATCTGCATGAACTACAACACAAGTACTGAACCATCTGCATGAAGTACAACGCAAGTACTGAACCATCTGCATGAAGTACAACACAAGTACTGAACCATCTGCATGTACTACAACACAAGTACTGAACCATCTGCATGAAGTACAACACAAGTACTGAACCATCTGCATGAAGTACAACACAAGTACTGAACCATCTGCATGAACTACAACACAAGTACTGAACCATCTGCATGAACTACAACACAAGTACTGAACCATCTGCATGAAGTACAACACAAGTACTGAACCACCTGCATGAAGTACAACACAAGTACTGAACCATCTGCATGAAGTACAACACAAGTACTGAACCTTATGCATGAAGTACAACACAAGTACTGAACGTCTGCATGAAGTACAACACAAGTACTGAACCATCTGCATGAAGTACAACACAAGTACTGAACCATCTGCATGAAGTACAACACAAGTACTGAACCATCTGCATGAACTACAACACAAGTACTGAACCATCTGCATGAAGTACAACACAAGTACTGAACCATCTGCATGAAGTACAACACAAGTACTGAACCATCTGCATGTACTACAACACAAGTACTGAACCATCTGCATGAAGTACAACACAAGTACTGAACCACCTGCATGAAGTACAACACAAGTACTGAACCATCTGCATGAAGTACAACACAAGTACTGAACCATCTGCATGAAGTACAACACAAGTACTGAACCATCTGCGTGAAGTACAACACAAGTACTGAACCATCTGCATGAAGTACAACACAAGGTACTGAACCATCTGCGTGAAGTACAACACAAGGTACTGAACCATCTGCGTGAAGTACAACACAAGTACTGAACCATCTGCATGAAGTACAACACAAGGTACTGAACCATCTGCATGAAGTACAACACAAGGTACTGAACCATCTGCGTGAAGTACAACACAAGGTACTGAACCATCTGCGTGAAGTACAACACAAGGTACTGAACCACCTGCATGAAGTACAACACAAGTACTGAACCATCTGCGTGAAGTACAACACAAGGTACTGAACCATCTGCATGAAGTACAATACGTAGCTGAGTTAAGAGATCACAGTTCTTGCAGTTACTTGCAATAATTATTGTTATTTTGTTTATTATTATTATTATTATTATTATTATTATTATTATTATTATTATTATTATTATTATTATAAATGTAGTGATACGCGTAATTTTCAGCAAATATTAGTTACAAAATAATAATAATAATAATAATAATAATAATAATAATAATAATAATAATAATAATAATTCTCCAACGTGTAATTAGTTGTCTCACTAAATTGGGTTGTTTGAGATTCTTTAATACTAACAAGGTAACATAGATGAAAACATTCTTCATTATATTCCTGGAGTGAAGAATCATGATTTTGCTGACAGGAAGAACAGACATTATATTCCTTAAAGGAAGTCTCATGTATAACCATCCCAGTGTTTATTACAATGTTCCTAAACTTCTTTATTTCAACAAACAACCGATGTCTATTGCATTGTTTTTACGTCTGTTAAGTCTATTAGATTTGTCTATTGAAAACCATCATATAAATCCAGCCGTAGTGTTACAACCTTGGTAACTGCTTTAATATGCCACGTTTAGAACACACGTCTTATGGGGGATATTATCGCACTGCACCATTACTGAGCACAAGATAATTTAATGCTCACTTAGTCCATTGTGGCTCACCCTTGACCTAAACTGATTATTGCCTGGAAAATGACTAAAGGAAAAAACGAACCCCCCAGAAATATGTCAGCGAGAGAAGCTCGTTAATTGTGTGTAGTGGAAGCACCGTGTGGGAGGGAACTACCGAGATAATGGAGGAGAAACAGTTTCCTTGACGCGTCAACCAATTAGAAGCTAATAATTTGCTCATGTTCTTATAGTCGAAAGGATTATTATATTCTTAGAAAAGCGCAATATTAATTAAATGGGTTATACAGAGCGTGGCGAATGAGAAGATGGATGTTATCAGAGTTACAAAGCTTTCATCCCTGGATACCTCCGTCCGTAGAGTGTACAACACACGGATTTTTATTACTGGATGCATCAGCAATGTGCTACTACCTTATTCTACATGACATCTACATAATAGAAGCAAAAAATCAACAAGAGAATAAAAGGGGTGGGAGCGGTGCAACCAGGTTTAGTCTGAGGAACGAAGAAGTAGCTCCATATCCTTGGATTAGGAGCTCTTCAGTAACATCAAGACACCCCACTCCCTTGGAGGGACAATATGATTGACATTTTTCACCCTGACTCTCAGTGTACTCATGTACACTAGTGAGAGACAAGATAGTGTGCGTCTGTAGTTCTCGTTAATAATGTATTATTATGCAGTATTATAGCGGCAAGAAATTGCTGAACCTACAGTAGTGCTATAATTCCTGGGAAATAGAAATTAGAAAGTTTCTTGAGGAATGAGAGGTCCAGATATTCCTAAGGCAAATGGATGCTGATCAGGTTCGATCCAAGGAGAGGAAGAGCAGCGGCAGTGCCTTCCTCTAGAGCCCGTCATTGGCATCAAGGCACCTCGTTTAATGACACCTCTTACATAGAAATGCAGCTATAAACAATATACATATAAATATTTTTCTATATAGAAATTATTTTTTATGAATCCACAAAAACTTATTCTGTTCTTCGACTTTTTATCAATTCCATTTTATTATCAATGCCACTTTTTTATAATATAAATATTATATTATACCTTTGGGAATCTCTTAATGACTCATAGTTAACGAGGGAAATACTTTATCATGAAATATCATAAATAATGGTGAGAATATCACATCATAATTCGTTGTTAATGGGATCTCTAAATAGACTGCAAATATTGGATAATGCAAAAAATATAAGTGCATGTATTTTTAATATTTTTCTTGATATATAACTTATATAAAAAATAAATCGATATATTTAGTTAGTATATATGAAACGCATATGGCACAAGTATACTTAGTACTTTGCACAGGAGAAAAATGTCATAAAATTCATAATATATTATTTACTCTCTGAGTTCCTACCATCATTATTAATAATTAACATAGAGAACTGCAGGAAGAAGAAGAGGAACAGTTCAGGAAACAGAGGTGAAAATGATAATGACTGGAAATACGAAAATTAGTTATTTTTGAGATAGGTGATAAACAGTCATAAACATCATTGATCATAAGTCTACGAGAGAGAGAGAGAGAGAGAGAGAGAGAGAGAGAGAGAGAGAGAGAGACAGACAGACAGACAGACAGAGACAGAGAGAGAGAGACAGAGAGAAAGAAAGAGAGAGAGAGAGAGAGAGAGAGAGAGAGAGAGAGAAAGAGAGAGAGAGATAGACAGAAAGAAAGAGAGAGAGAGAGAGAGAGAGAGAGAGAGAGAGAGAGAGAGAGAGAGGGAGAGAGAGAGAGAGAGAGAGAGAGAGAGAGAGAGAGAGAGAGAGAGAGAGAGAGAGAGAGAGAGATAGAGAGAGAGAGAGAGAGAGAATAGCTAACGCTCCGCTGAGTACGTCAGAGCTAAGAGTCTCGGGAGTGACGGTGTATCAAGCATCAGCTGCAAGCTGAGGAGGGTCTCTCATAACCTGGCTATTTTAACAATAAACACAGAAAGGCAGAAACAATGCTGTCTCTCGGCAGCTGTCGAAGAGAAGAGCTACAAAAAGGCAGATAAAACCCTGTTCAGTCTCTTCTACAGTTCATGGAGACACAAGTGTGGACACTTCGCAGCTTCACATGTTCCAGAGACAGAAACTTGAGAGTGAAGGTCACGGTATTTACGCTGGAGCTAGATAGTTGTACCCATTACCATTTGTGTGTCCATTTCCATTAACGCCATTACCATTAGTAGACCCATTTCCGTTACCACTACTTCCGTTCCCATTAGCGTAACCATTTCCATTGCCACTACTTCCGTTCCCGTTGCCATTTACGCCATTGCCGTTTGTGTAGCCATTTCCGTTAGCCTTAACCCCATTGCCATTAATTCCATTTCCGTTAGTGTAACCATTTCCGTTTATGCCGTTTCCATTACCATTTGTAATACCATTACCATTTGTAACACCATTACCATTTGTAATACCATTACCATTTGTATAACCATTTCCATTGCTGTGGCCATTGCCATTGCTGAGCCCATTGCTATTGGTATATCCATTACCATTACCATTGGTGAGTCCATTGCCAGTGGTGAGTCCATTGCCATTAGTGTATCCATTTCCATTACCATTGGTGAGTCCATTGCCAGTTGTGAGTCCATTGCCATTAGTGTATCCATTACCATTGCCATTGGTGAGTCCATTGCCATTGGTGAGTCCATTGCCATTGGTGAGTCCATTACCATTGGTGAGTCCATTGCCATTGGTGAGTCCATTGCCATTAGTGTATCCATTACCATTGCCATTGGTGAGTCCATTGCCATTGGTGAGTCCATTACCATTGGTGAGTCCATTGCCATTGGTGAGCCCATTGCCATTAGTGTATCCTATACCATTGCCATTGGTGAGTCCATTGCCATTGGTGAGTCCATTGCCATTGGTGAATCCATTACCATTGGTGAGTCCATTCCCATTAGTGTATCCATTACCACTACTCTTTGTGAGTCCATTACCATTGGTGAGTCCATTGCCATTTGTGTATCCGTTACCATTACCATTGGTAAGCCCAATGCCATTTGAATAACCATTGCCATTGGTAACACCAATCAGAGCATTGAGACCATAGAACTGCTGGGCGGTAGAACAGTCGAAGTTGTACCACCAGTCACACACGAAGTACTGCTGGTTGAAGATGGTACCGTTGGGACACAGGAAAGAGTCGCTCCTGCCATCTGCCTGACAGATGTGGAACACCTGTGGAGGACAACAGTATTAAAGAAAGTCTTACTATTTGCACATGTGTAATATCTCTCATGGATATCATGAAGTTTAATGTGTTGAGGGTTGAAATTAATTTATAAATAAAAGTGATTAGGAATCTGAGTAATTTGTTTTGGAAAAGATATATCCAATAATCATGTGTACACGATGATGAATGAGTAGATTATTTAAATTTGAAAATCGCCTCGGTGTTTTAAACTATTTTATTTCAAAAAAATTATATTGTAATATTCTTAAAAAAAATAACGATGGAAAAGTGTGAAAGAACATGATAGCTGATAAACAGCTATCATGTTCTTGAGCCAGTCGAGTGCATTTGTGATTATTTTTAAAATAAACTAATAGTTATAGAATTCATTATACCTGTATCAAGGTCTGTGTCATTTAATGAATATTTTGTAATCATAGGAATAGAAATAGTTTTTATAATTATTCCGAATTTTGTTTTTTTTCTGTGTATTTAAAAAAATATACATACTAAAAATATATGTAGACAAGATTATGCATGTAAGTATACATGATGAGGTGCATCACCCTGATGGGTCGTGCATCACTCTGCCGGGTTGTGCATCACTTTGCAGGGTTGTGCATCACCCTGACGGGTCGTGCATCACCCACTCTGACGGGTCGTGCATCACCCACCCTGACGGATTGTGCATCACCCTGACTGGTCGTGCATCACCTTGACGGGTCATGCATCACCCTGACGGGTTGTGCATCCCATTCACGGGTCGTGCATCACCCTGACGGGTCTTTGATGACCTCTTTACTGGAGTCTGTGGAATTTTGGTATCGCAGAGTTAAGTATGAGGATTATAATGTATCTCACTGAAGTGTAAATACTTGTGAAGAAGGCGGGTCGATATTGTAAGATATGTACATTGTGAATGAGGTAATATTATAATGTTTCTAGTAAATTTATGTTATGACTCCTCCTTTTTCCCAAGCCTTGCTTAAAATTGCAATGGCATAAAAAAGACTATCCCTTTTTTCCTCACGTAGGGAATAAAACCTTTTGTCAGACCCGGTCTGTTATGTGAAGAAAAGAGGAACACCTTATTTCATGCCACAAACTGCATGACTCGAGGATAGTAGTATTAGAGAATCAACCTTATAATATTGGCACATACAGAACAAGCCACCTGAGGATGGAAATCTTTAGCTCTAGATCTTTCTTACTCTCGTGCTTCGTCAGGAGCTATGCAGTGTTGCAAGACAGCAGAAGACAGGAGGAATTCTCTGAGTCAAGGCAGAAGGTATCAGTGGCGGTCCATGTCACTGTGATATGGGGCGCCATTGACATCTTTCTGTCTTGTCCCAGAGAATTTCCACTCCTATCTGTTGCTGTCTTGCAACACTGCATAACTCCTGACGACGAACGAAAGTGCAGATGATCTATAGCTGAAGATTTCCATCCCCATGTGGCTTGTTCTGCATTGTTATAAGGGCCTGTTTGCGATTGTATTGCATTATTGTCACATGTAGAACACTTCATGAGGACATCATTGACGATTATCCCTGCCAAAATGTGAATTAAAAGTTGAAATGCTATATCAAGTATTCACAGCTGCTGATACACTAAAATTGTTTATGTATTTTCTTTGTTATGCTATAAATGTTTTTGCCTCCATGAATTTTTTTTTTTGCAAGTTGTGTAAGAGATGTTTGTTGATGGCATATGATTCAGTCGCCATCTGCCGACCTTGGCAAAAATGGGCAAAGAAAATAGCAACTAAAAAAAATTGACCAAATTATTTTTAAGAAGACTCACCTGACAGCCGACCCCGGGGGCAGTAGAAGACTCACCTGATAACCGGCCCCGGGGGCAGTAGAAGATTCACCTGACAGCCAACGTCGGGGATAGTAAAAGACTCACCTGACAGCCGGCCTCTTGGGCAATATCAGCGTAGTATCCAGGAATCTGTCCACCGCAGGAGAATCCTGTGTCGGGTACGGAAGCCAGGATGGGATAGTCCACGCCGGGTTCACCTCTTACAGCAGTAGCCAGGGCGGTGATGGGATCCTCTAGTCCGTTTCCGTTAAGGAAGGCACCATTTCCGTTGGAGTAGCCACCATTGCCATTCCCATTGCCGTTTGTGTGAACACCATTTCCATTGCCGCTGCCGGTTGTGTGAATACCGTTTCCATTGCCATTTGTGTAGCCGCCGTTGCCGTTCGTGTAACCACCATTACCGTTTCCGTTTGAGTGAACACCATTTCCATTTCCGTTACCGTTTGTGTAACCGCCATTACCGTTGCCGTTCGTGTGAACGCCATTTCCATTTCCGTTGCCGTTTGTGTAACCACCATTACCGTTTCCGTTTGCGTGAACGCCATTTCCATTTCCGTTGCCGTTTGTGTAACCACCATTACCGTTTCCGTTGCCGTTTATGTGAACACCATTTCCATTACCATTTGTGTAACCACCATTACCATTTCCGTTACTAATACCATTTCCGTTTCCGTTTGTGTAGCCACCATTCCCATTTCCGTTTACACCATTGGTATATCCTCCATTACCATTTCCACTGACTGCACCATTTCCATTTCCGTCAACTCCTCCATTCCCATTAACTAATACCCCATTCCCGTTGCCATTTCCATTACTATAAACACCATTGCCGTTGACTCCATTACCATTTCCGTTCCCCCCGTTGCCGTTGAAGCCGTTGGTTGGAGGCAGGTAGGCTTGCTGGGCCAAACACACGCCTATGGCAGCTGTGGAGGGAAGAACACCCAAATGAGCTTTTATCCACGCGATAACAAGACTCAGTATTCTGTATGTCAAAGCTCTATATTACCAACCAGTTGATGAACAAGACACATGTGCAACACCTGTGTATCTTTCCTGGCAGGTGCTGCACATGGTTTATTAATGGGGTTTAAAGCCTGTCGGCTACTCAAGAGGTCATTTAGGCTACAATATAGAACAAAATAGCACGATGCCGTGACTAGAACAATACAATACCGTGACTGGAACAATACAATACCGTGACTGGAACAATACAATACCGTGACTGGAACAATACAATACCGTGACTGGAACAATACAGTACCGTGACTAGAGCAATACAATACCGTGGTTGGAACAATACAATACCGTGACTGCAACAATACAATACCGTGACTGGAACAATACAATACCGTGACTGGAACAATACAATACCGTGACTGGAACAATACAATACCGTGACTGGAACAATACAATACTGTGACTGGAACAATACAATACCGTGACTGGAACAATATAATACGTTCCTCTCTCCTATGTGGCGGATATTTGTGTATAATAACTCTCATATTTACCAACGGTTTAAAATACTTAATGCTCAAAGTTAGGTTTAATTTAAAACTGCAGCATATTTGCTTTGATAAATGTACGTCAGACGGTGCATATGTCTCGTATACAAGAATATACCTGGAGATTACCTGGAGGTTACGTGGAGGATATTCCGGGGATCAACGCCCCCGCGGCCCGGTCCATGACCAGGCCTCCCGATGGATCAGGGCCTGATCAACTAGGCTGTTACTGCTGGCCGCACGCAGTCCAACGTACGAGCCACAGCCCGGCTGATCCGGCACTGACTTTAGGTATCTGTCCAGCTCTCTCTTGAAGGCAGCCAGGGGTTTATTGGTAATTCCCCTAATGCTTGATGGGAGGCTGTTGAACAGTTTTGGGCCCCGGACACTTATGGTGTTTTCTCTTAGTGTACCAATGGCGCCCCTACTTTTTATTGGAGGCATTTTGCATCGCCTGCCCAGTCTTTTACTTTCGTAGGGAATTGATTTCTGTGTGCAGATTTGGGACCATTCCTTCCAAGATTTTCCAAGTGTAGATTATGATATATCTCTCCCTCCTGGCCCGGTGGTCTGGTGGCTAAAGCTCCCGCTTCACACACGGAGGGCCCGGGTTCGATTCCCGGCGGGTGGAAATTCCGACACGTTTCCTTACACCTATTGTCCTGTTCACCTAGCAGCAAATAGGTACCCGGGTGTTAGTCGACTGGTGTGGGTCGCATCCTGGGGGACAAGATTAAGGACCCCAATGGAAATAAGTTAGACAGTCCTCTATGACGCACTGACTTTCTTGGGTTATCCTGGGTGGCTAACCCTCCGGGGTTAAAAATCCGAACGAAATCTTATCTTATCTTATCTTATCTTATCTGCGTTCCAACGAGTACAAGTCAAGTGCTTCCAAGCGTTCCCAGTAGTTAAGGTGCTTGACAGAACTTATACGTGCAGTAAAGGATCTCTGTACACTCTCCAGATCTGCGATTTCACCTGCTTTAAATGGAGATGTTAATGTACAGCAGTACTCCAGCCTAGAGAGAACAAGTGATTTGAAAAGGATCATCATTGGCTTGGCATCTCTCGTTTTGAATGTTCTCATTATCCATCCTATCATTTTCTTTGCACGTGCGATCGTGGCAGTGTTGTGATCCTTGAAAGTGAGATCCTCAGACATTACTACTCCCAGGTCCCTTACATTATTTTTCCGCTCTATTGTATGGCCGGAGTCAGTAGTATACTCTGTTCTAGTTATTATCTCCTCCAGTTTTCCATAACGGAGTAGTTGGAATTTGTCCTCATTGAACATGAATATGAAGACATAATGGACCAAAAAAATGAAAATATACAGAAAATTTAAATAATATAAATTATATATGAAGTATAAATATTGTCTAAAAAAAAAGAGCAAAATGTATGTTTTAGAATATTGGCTGATGTAACGCAGCCTCCAGCTTCACAAATATTAGAGATGTGATTTTTTCAAGTGAGCTAATATGTTCTGAAGTAAATGTTTTTGACGGTGTGTGTGTGTGTGTGTGTGTGTGTGTGTGTGTGTGTATGTATGTGTGTGTGTGTGTGTGTGTGTGTGTGTGTGTGTGTGTGTGTGTGTGTACTCACCTAGTTGTACTCACCTAGTTGAGGTTGCGGGGGTCGAGTCCGAGCTCCTGGCCCCGCCTCTTCACTGATCGCTACTAGGTCACTCTCCCTGAGCCGTGAGCTTTATCATACCTCTGCTTAAAGCTATGTATGGATCCTGCCTCCACTACATCGCTTCCCAAACTATTCCACTTACTGACTACTCTGTGGCTGAAGAAATACTTCCTAACATCCCTGTGATTCATCTGTGTCTTCAGCTCCAACTGTGTCCCCTTGTTACTGTGTCCAATCTCTGGAACATCCTGTCTTTGTCCACCTTGTCAATTCCTCTCAGTATTTTGTATGTCGTTATCATGTCCCCCTATCTCTCCTGTCCTCCAGTGTCGTCAGGTTGATTTCCCTTAACCTCTCCTCGTAGGACATACCTCTTAGCTCTGGGACTAGTCTTGTTGCAAACCTTTGCACTTTCTCTAGTTTCTTTTCTTGCTTGGCTAGGTGTGGGTTCCAAACTGGTGCCGCATACTCCAATATGGGCCTAACGTATACGGTGTACAGGGTCCTGAACGATTCCTTATTAAGATGTCGGAATGCTGTTCTGAGGTTTGCTAGGCGCCCATATGCTGAAAGCAGTTATTTGGTTGATGTGCGCTTCAGGAGATGTGCCTGGTGTTATACTCACCCCAAGATCTTTTTCCTTGAGTGAGGTTTGTAGTCTCTGACCCCCTAGGCTGTACTCCGTCTGCGGCCTTCTTTGCCCTTCCCCAATCTTCATGACTTTGCACTTGGTGGGATTGAACTCCAGGAGCCAATTGCTGGACCAGGTCTGCAGCCTGTCCAGATCCCTTTGTAGTTCTGCCTGGTCTTCGATCGAGTGTATTCTTCTCATCAACTTCACGTCATCTGCAAACAGGGACACCTCAGAGTCTATTCCTTCCGTCATGTCGTTCACAAATACCAGAAACAGCACTGGTCCTAGGACTGACCCCTGCGGGACCCCGCTGTCACAGGTGCCCACTCTGACACCTCGCCACGTACCATGACTCGCTGCTGTCTTCCTGACAAGTATTCCCTGATCCATTGTAGTGCCTTCCCTGTTATCCCTGCTTGGTCCTCCAGTTTTTGCACCAATCTCTTGTGTGGAACTCTGTCAAACGCCTTCTTGCAGTCCAAGAAAATGCAATCCGCCCACCCCTCTCTCTCTTGTCTTACTGCTGTCACCATGTCATAGAACTCCAGTAGGTTTGTGACACAGGATTTCCCGTCCCTGAAACCAAGCTGGCTGCTGTTGATGAGATCATTCCTTTCTAGGTGTTCCACCACTCTTCTCCTGATAATCTTCTCCATGATTTTGCATACTATACATGTCAGTGACACTGGTCTGTAGTTTAATGCTTTCATGTCTGTCTCCTTTTTTAAAGATTGGGACTACATTTGCTGTCTTCCATGCCTCAGGCAATCTCCCTGTTTCGATAGATGTATTGAATATTGTTGTTAGGGGTACACATAGCGCCTCTGCTCCCTCTCTCAATACCCATGGGGAGATGTTATCTGGCCCCATTGCCTTTGAGGTATCTAGCTCACTCAGAAGCCTCTTCACTTCTTCCTCGGTTGTGTGCACTGTGTGTGTGTGTGTGTGTGTGTGTGTGTGTGTGTGTGTGTGTGTGTGTGTGTGTATGTATGTGTGTGTGTGTGTGTGTGTGTGTGTGTGTGTGTGTGTGTGTGTATGTATGTGTGTGTGTGTGTGTGTGTGTGTGTGTGTGTGTGTGTGTGTGTGTGTGTGTGTGTGTGGTTATATGTGAAACTGAAGCAATGAGAGATGAAGAGGAAGACTAGAGTTATTGATAGCCGGGATGGTGATGGTGGTGGTGGTGGTGATGGTGATGGTGGTGGTGGTGGTGGTGGTGGTGGTGGTGGTGGTGGTGGTGGTGGTGGTGGTGATGGTGGTGGTGGTGGTGGTGGTGGTGGTGGTGGTGGTGGTGGTGGTAGTGGTGGAGGTGGAGGTGGTGGTGGTGGTGGTGGTGGTGGTGGTGGTGGTGGTGGTGGTGGTGGTGGTCATGGTGGTGGTGGTGGTGGTGGTGGTGGTGGTGGTGGTGGTGGTGGTGGTGGTCATGGTGGGTGGAGGTGGTGGTGGTGGTGGTGGTGGTGGTGGTGGTGGTGTGGTGGTGGTGGTGGTGGTGGTGGTGGTGGTGGTGGTGGTGGTGGTGATGATGATGATCGTGAGGTGGCCATAGAGGTTGTTTTTAGAAGAGATTCGTGTGTGGTGGGGTGATGTAGGGAAGGTGGAGGTTCAGTGGTTCACCTGCGATGCTGAGATGTGGGTTACCACCAACATTCACTTATCAGCTTCACTAGTGTGTGTGTGTGTGTGTGTGTGTGTGTGTGTGTGCGAGTGTGTGTGTTTTTGTGTGTGTGTGAACGATTATATATCCGAATAAGAGAGTTGCACCACCTGACCTAATTTCCTTATTAAATATTCTTAAAAAATAGCTGAAAACTTAATAATTAAATCGCTGATAAAAATATTGCATCACGAAAATAAAATTGTTCAGTAAAGAATGACTTCAGAACTTAATGACTGCTAAATATGCAAAATAATATTGTTCAACGAGTAAGTAAACACTGAGACATGTGGAAAGTGTTTGAAGTGAAGTGTTGTTTGACACCCAAGATGTGGCGTGAGTATGTGTGATGTGCACCAGTGATTTTAAGGTGCAATATATTCATCCTCTGAGTAAGTGTTAATGTAAATTTTTCCTTTACAAATGCCTTTAAAGCTGGGCAGCTTGGTTCACTAGATATGTTTCTTTCCCAGCCCGGGCACGTCAGTGGCTGAGTGGATACGAGCGCTGCCTGGGAATCTTGCCCGTCTCAGTAGTAGTATCGAGTCCTGCTGACTGTGATCTTTTTCTCTCTCGATATATGTGTATATATGTCGTGCCGAATAGGCAGAATTTGCGATCTTGGCTTAAATACCAACGTTCATGTTGCCATATAGGACAAGTGAAAATTTGTGTATGCAATAATTTCGCCAAAATCATTCTGAACCTAACGAAAAAAAATATATTTCACTGTGTTTGTTAAGTATTAAATTACTGTAAACAAATCTAAAATATATTTAGTTGGGTTCGGCAAAAATAAATTGCTCTTGTTATAATAACGTTAGGTAAGTTTTCTAAGATCCTTTTGGTGCAAAATTGAAAATTTTTACATTAACATTAATGAAAAAATATATCTTTAAACGTATAAGACAAAACTTTAGAAAGGACTTAATTTTAAATGAGTTCTTACTAATTGACCATTTTTAAATCTATTTGGCACGACATATATTATTATATATAATAAAATATATATATATATATATATATATATATATATATATATATAAAATATATATATTGGGCATAAATATATATATATATATAATAAATATATATATATATATATATATATATATATATATATATATATATAAATGCACCACGCAGAAACAAGCGGGTGCGTTGAAGTAAAAATCGCTTGAGAGGTCAGAACATACAGGAGGAGATTGAAATAGCTTGAATCCATGCTTGAGGCTGACTGACGTGCCCGGGCTGGGAAATAAACATGGCTTGTGAACCAGGCTGCCCAGCTCATGTGGCATTTGTGGCTAAGTGGATAAGAGCACTGCCTGGGAATCTTGATCGTCTCAGTAGCAGTATCGAATCCTGCTGACTGCGATCTCTCTCTCTCTCTCTCTCTCTCTCTCTCTCTCTCTCTCTCTCTTAGGAGGAGGTGCGGGATTGCCAATACTGTTGTCCAGAGGGCTGAAGAAGGGTTGTTGAGGTCGTTCGGACATGTAGAGAGAATGGAGCGAGACAGAATGACTTCAAGAGTGTATCAGTCTGTAGAGGAAGGAAGGCGGGGTAGGGGTCGGCCTAGGAAAGGTTGGAGGGAGGGGGTAAAGGAGGTTTTGTGTGCGAGGGGCTTGGACTTCCAGCGGGCACGCGTAAGCGTGTTTGATAGGAGTGAATGGAGACAAATGGTTTTTAATACTTGACGTGCTGTTGGAGTGTGAGCAAAGTAACATTTATGGAGGGGTTCAGGGAAACCCGGCAGGCCGGACTTGAGTCCTGGAGATGGAAGTACAGTGCCTGCACTCTGAAGGAGGGTGTTAATGTTGCAGTTTAAAACTGTAGTGTAAAACACCCTTTTGGCAAGACAGTGATGGAGTGAATGATGGTGAAAGTTTTTCTTTTTCGGCCACCCTGCCTTGGTGGGATTCAGCCAGTGTGTTAATAAAAAAAAATAATATATATATATATATATAATATATATATATATAATATTTTAAAATTTTATATATATATATATATTATAATATATATTATAATATATATAAAATATATATATTATATATATATAAACACATCGGCCGTTTCCCCACCAAGGCAGGGTGGCCCGAAAAAGAAAAACGTTCATCATCATTCACTCCATCACTGTCTTGCCATAAGTGTGCTTACACTACAGTTATAAAACTGTAACATTAACACCCCTTCTTCAAGGACAGGCACTGTACTTCCCATCTCCAGGACTCAAGTCCAGCCTGCCGGTTTTCTTGAATCCCTTCATAAATGTTATCTTGCTTACACTCCAACAACACGTCAAGTCCTAAAAACCATTTGTCTCCATTCACTCCTATCTAACACGCTCACGCATGCTTGCTGGAAGTCCAAGCTCCTCGCACACAAAACCTCCTATCACCCTCCTTACTCCTGAGATTCCTTCCTTTCTCACACTGGCTCACAGTTACCTCTCAACTGAAATACTATATTGCATTCTATTGTCTGTTTCTGGACAACAACATAAACGTTAGTAATGAAAGGAATATTAACAATAGGAATATTAACAATTAGAGCATCGGGACGCTTCCTAAATATTTTTTGATAATATATTTTATATCTTTCAAGGCGAAAATAAGTACCACTATAAAAACGAATTAAGTAAATACTTCTTTGAAATTCCTCATTTTTTCTCGTGGTTAATTAGACTAATTCAGAAGGTTAGCATTTCTTGATGTTTCACAAGGAATCACATGACTCAGTTCATCAAAAGGATTTAGAACTCTCAATAATGTTTTAAGTTAGAGGCAGAGTTTGATTGTTTTGATAGGCCGATGCAGAGGCTTGTCTCAGTTCCTTGTTGTCTCTTAATTAAAGTAAACCCATGTATAGTCTTAAACCTTTACATCTCTGCTGCAGACAGCTCTTCCTCCATTCTTACACTGCTCTACCTTAAATTGTCTACTTTTTTTGATCTAACTGTAAACCTTTCCCCTACATTGTACTGTCTACTTCTCTTCCTCTCATCATATTTTCTCTACCTCTGTCCTTATGATGTTGCACCAGAGAAAATATTCAATCTAGAGTAGCACATGTCAGTAAACCTTTATCCTTCGATCTATAGTTTAACACTCAAGCATCATAATTTTTATTTCCGTTCAAGTGTCTACGGTTCCATATCTTTGATATATTACGAATTCTCTTTTACTCTGCTTGAACTTAGAGCTTGACATTCATAAAAAATCTAATGTAAGTACACCAAGTGAATGGGTTAATATTTGATGGCTCCCCAACTGTAAGTACTTACCTGCAACTATAAGCTGCCTTATTATCTTCATTGTCAGCGGAAATTTCTCAAAAATCCTCTTAGAGAAAGAACCAAACTTCAGCCTTGTTGGTGAAGATCCCTGATGGTAGGAGGAGGAGGAAGCAGCGACGGACGGTGGAAAGTGAGAGTTATGTGGCTACCAACGCTCACAGTGCCTTATATACTCCGTCGTTAGTTGGGCAACGGTCCGGGGGCTATGGCAGGAGATTGACGCCAGACGGAGAAGAAAGGCTAGGTCAGGGTCGCGGCCCAGACCTCCGTTCTAGATTCCCTGCCGGCCGGACCAGCGGCTTCCCCGGACCACCGGACCTGTCTGTTTCACTGCCCCCCAGGTATCACCAATACTGTGGGTCATCCCCAACAGTCAGGCACCACCAGTCTTGGGTCATAATCCTTAAAGGGCCCCG